TGTGTCCAGATGGCAGATAAAGATTTCATGGAGTTTTGTCATGCTTGGCATACAAGGTTGATTGTCCATTGATGTGGTTTGTCTTGGTTAAGTAGGCCCTCCATTATGGGTGTGCATGCTCTCACACACACCCTTTGGTTCCAACATCGGGTCACTATTATAACTGCCCATGACAGGCCATTACACACTATGACCACCCAGCCTTGTATGAACCCATAATATGACCCGCATTAAGCCCCATCATGAACTGGTAATGTTGTTCTATGAGGAATCTGCTGCGTTTGGAGAGCTTCACTTACTGTTTTGACTGACTGTTGGACATATGAGCAACTGCCTGATAACACAACTGTTCCACTCATGATACCACTTCTTATTCATTGCTCGTTCTATACCTCCTCAAATCAAATGTATTGAGGGGTATGCATGTGCACCAATTTATACTTAGATGAAATCATTTCTTTTGGGAGATTTTCTGTGTTATTTAAAAAATTTTGCCAGCAAATTTTTCATACCCAGATATTTAGTTTATTTCATAATTTCCATGTTTGCTCGCTGTACTGTATTGCCATTTCATGATGGCTGCATTTGCTGCAACAATTTTATATCTAGGGATAAAGTGTTGCCCGTGATTGAGAACAGGATACTTTATAGACTCCACTGGTTTGACGTTTCTAAAATCTACACACTTAAGTTGCTCAGTGAAGCTTAGTGAGATGATATTGTAGATTCAGCGCACCCGTTTCCTCCCTTCAGGAAATCCCCACCGTGACATAGTATAGAGCTAATGACTGATGAGGCCTTTGACACAGAAATGCTTGACATGCTCCTCGGGGTCTAGACTAAAGACTTTCCCTAACAAGCTCTCGCACGCTCACCCAGGGCTGTATTAAATCCAAACTTTGGCACCTTTCCTAATTACCAAGAACATACCAGGAGTCAAGAGTCTCTCTGTAACCTGGCTTGAACTTCCTTCTGCAGAACAGCATCCCTTGAGTGTGAGATGATATATGAAATGCAGAATTCAAATCAGGCTGATGGAGAGCAATTACTTGTAAAAGAAAATGCCTTACTCTTTAGGAAACAAAAAATCAAATCCTACCACTGGGTGCATGAACAGTTTTATCTGTTTCCTCTTGTTCCTAAAAGCTGAGCCTATCTTTCATTCGGTCTTGCTTCGACAGGACCTTTTTTCATTAGAAGAGCGGTTTTCTTCTCCTCGTCTCCATTTACATGTGTCACCTTTTTCACACCTCGTTGCTTTTATTCTTTTTTCTTTCTGACTTTGTCTTTCTGTGTTTGCTTTATGTTAAACATCTTCTACATTTCCTCCTGTCAGTAGAGTATAGAGCCTTCTGTGTTGCAGGTGAAAAAATAAAAACGATGGTTGGAGAAGTCTGCCCCCCCTGTTTAGTGAACTGCACATAAATTGTCTAACAGACTGTTAAAGAATCAGCAATTGGTTGTTTGTGTTGAGTGAAATTGTGAAGTTGGACAGATTTGCACGCTCAGGTTCAATTATTCAATCATTCTTAACAAATATCTCATATCAATGACATAAAAATAAACCATACATCGAAGCTTATTTTATTCATTTTTATCCCACTAAGTTACACACCATCCAGGATATATAGTAATGACGCTGACATTAGGATGATTACTAACCTTCTATTAAGTGTATTTTTTTATATATATATATTTATAACAAAAGGATCATTTTTCTAATTTAACACATGGGGAAAAAAAAGGAATTTAAGTGGTGCTTCAGTCAAACCAAACAATATAAAATAAAGTAAAATAAAGTATGTTGCCATTTTAGATGTTCCCCAAAACCTTTTTTAACAGTCTGAGTTATGTTGTCTTTTGTTCCATATTTAGGTTTACCCTTCATCTCCAAACCAAAAACTCAGCTCAACACCCAAACCTGCTGCACACTGAGTACTGCAAGTCTGTGTGCACATTTTAAGTTTAAGTTCAAGGTTCCTTATCGTCATTCGCATCACATGTAGGTGGAACGAAACTGTGTACTCAAGGTCCCAGTTACATCCAAAAATAGCAAAATATAAAATATGAAAAGAAACAGTTTACAAGGATTTATTAAACTGAGGGGAAAAAACAGCCTCCGTTTTTCTTCTGAATCTTGTCCATTATGTGTCAGACCTCCAGAGTGAGGTCAGACACATAATGGACGTATGGTAAATGTAATGACAGCTTAAAGAAACTTTGCAAAGGGAAATTATAAAAACTGATGGCATCAGCATAATATTTTAATATTTTAGGCACATAACTTCCAGAAATACAAGTCATAGTTCATTACACTATGCACATTTTCTCTGAGAATTTAGATTTTTGTTCATTAATTAATTTGTCACAGTATTTACATGGGTTATACCAGACTAATTCAACTAAATCATGAACACTATGTAAACTAACTTTATATTCATACATATACAACCATACACACACAAACACATGAAAATATTTATTATCTTCAAGTGAACTATAAAAAGATTAAAGCTGCACTAAATTACTCCTTACTATTTCTGGTGCTAAGCCACTTTTAATCACTTGTCCAAGCCTTTGTAATGACCTTTTAAGACCCACCATTAAATAATTTTTTCCCAGGATTGAACTTCAACTGGTTTTCCATCCATCCATATTGGGATTTGAACAGGGGCAACCTGCTCACTGAGAGGCAACAGCTCTACCAACCTCACCCCCGTGCTGCCCTTCAACTTGTTTTAATTTGGCAAAACACAATTTAAGGTGGTTTGTAACAAAGTGTCTGTTTTAAGATGCTAATAAATGAGTTTTGGCTTTATTGAACATTCTGTTTAATTAATTTATTTATTTTTTGTGGAGACATGTTAAATTATGTGCTCATTGACTTCTCACCTAATCATTTTATCAGGGTCATGAGTCCTAATTATTAAAGTGATGACTTCAGCACTGCTTCTGTGCAAAGGTTAAAGATTACGCATGCATAAACAGAGTGGAGCAAAAACAGTCTTCTGTTGTTGGATTTCAGAAAATGGTGTGTACAAAGCACAGTTTATTCTTAAACCTAACACAGCATATTTTTACAACATCCATCCATCCATCCATCCATCCATCCATCCATCCATCCATCCATCCATCTATCTATCTATCTATCTATCTATCTATCTATCTATCTATCTATCTATCTATCTATCTATCTATCTATCTATCTATCTATCTATCTATCCAGCTAGCTAGCTAGCTAGCTAGCTATCCATCCATCCATTATTTTCACGGGGGTCACTGGTGCCCATGTCTACCCTTTATTTAACATTTTGACCAAAGATAAAAAAAGGCCTAAAATTACAAAAAGTTAAAGAAAGACGACTTCAAAATCAAATTTGAGCGTTTTAATTGAAAGTCTTTAAAAAAAGCTTTTTACTGCTGCTACCCTTCCCGCAAAAGAGGCAATTTTTTTATGTTTTATTTTTAACTAAAAGTTAAAAAAAAATAATAATAATCATGACGAGCTGTATAGGATCTTCACTGAAGCTGTTGTGTAATTTTCTCAAAGAACAAAATCAGGACAACTTAAAAAAGTTCCTTGAATTGTTTGTACTATAATATTTTCTTCGAACAGGTACAAAATAAAAACATCATATTTCCCTGCGTTGAAAGCACGTGTCAGTCAGCAGGTCTTCTCTCTTGTCCGACCTTTTACTCATCGCCATCGCCTCGCTTGCTCCAGCAGCCACGAGGTCTGTTTATAGATAGGTGCAGAACATTGTTATGCTGAGAGCTGTTGATTGCGCTCCTGATGAGTTGTGTTAATCATTTTGTGCACCGTGCATTTTTCTCCAGTTAGTCTCCATTATTTGAAAGCTCTCTGCGTGAGTGGCCATTCAATCTGTTTGTGTCCTCTCTTTTCATCTGTCTGTCAAGATCGGCAGCCGCAATCAACTGTGCACGTCTTCGCTCTGCTCTTAAAGCTATTTCCTTCTTTATACATCCAATGTCATTATCTTTCTCTGCACATTATAGCCAAATAGGTTTGATGAAGACCTGTGTTGTGATGCACTTGGAAAATCAATTACAACTCTGTAACACAATACTGAACATTTCCACTCCCAGCTCCACCTCTTTCCGCCTCTGTCCTTTTCTCCTTCTGCTCTTGCATGCCGTCCTATTAGAGCGCAGCAGCATCAGAGCCATCAGGTCGACTTTATGTCTTATATGTTTGCCCTAAGACATCTTTTTGGTCTGAGCACCAAAATTCAATCTTAGGTTCCCAATCAAGAGTAGTAAAAACCCATCCGTCACTGCAGCCACAGAAGCAGCTTCGGCTCAGCCTGGTCAGATAAATTGTACGAGCTCATCCTTCTCCCATTTTCGTTTCATCTCAGACCCCCCCAGTGGCCCGCATTATAGCTGCAGATGGCCAGGGGAGATTCAGAAGCTGCAATCCATCAATGTAATGTTGCCTGAGCCACTGGACAGTCGCCCTGCTAACCGCTCCTCCAGCTGGACTGTACCGCTCCCCCCTTTGGCCCTGTTTGTGAGCTCGCCCCACTTAAGTAAAATTTTGGCCTGTTTTTCAGCCTTGCGGTGCCAAAATCAGTCTTTTTCACGTCTCATTGTAAATACAATTTCACCAAGTTGCTTCCTCTGGCCTAATTCTCGCACAATCTGTCTGAGAAGTCTGACGATTCTGGTCAAGAGTAAATGGTAAAAGCACCATTAGATTTGCTTTTTCTCTTTCTTAGATTAACAAGTCTGGGGATATTACACTGCCAAACATCTGCTGGGGAATTTGTCTTTATCCTTGGAAAGTGCAAGGACAATCAAAAATCTCTAGATTACAGCATCTAATAAAAGTCAAGCTCATGTTTTATTACTTCTGAAGAAATGCCTATCCGTCCAACTTAAGACAATTCATTCAACACTCTGTGCTCTAAAATACCTTTGATACGTCCAATAAAAGCGGTGCGTAAAATTAATCTAGTTTGTGTGGTTCCTTTCCTCAGGGTCCAACTCCTGATAACTTGTTATTCTTCAGACCGTGAGTTTTTTTTCCTGAGCTGATCTGAAACCACAAAGTCATTAACGTTGAGGGTTTCCTTATTCCCCCACCCCACTAGTTGGAATTTGATGTGCACACGTTTCCATTTCTAGGATTGATCATGTGCAGTGCACCTCTTGGAAACAATAGTGTATCTCTAGCACCCCCACCCCCTGTAAAATAGATGGTCTTCTTCCTGCTCCAGGCTGCCTGATAGACACGCAGGGAGATTGGTTCTGTTGAATAAGAAATGAATCTCTCGGAGTGTCACCAGGCCACCATGACCTCTGAAATATCATTATCTACAGGGGAGGAAGGTTAACTTCTCTAATATAGCCTGAATACAAGAGAGGAGTGCCAACAGTGGACATAATCCTGCTTTATTATCAGTATATTTCAGGAAAAAGCTTTTTTTTAAGTGCAACAGCACAGCATCTTGAAAACACTCAAACATCTTCAATAACATTTCTTACAACACAGAAATAACAGAATGGACTTGTGCTTATGAACTACAGATAGAGCAGCACTAAAGATGCACAGATCCATTAATATGAAAATAAAAAATGTAATAATATCCAACCCAAAACTTATTTAGTCCTTATATATTCACATTTGACCCAAGGATTCAAGTATTCAAGGTTCTTTATTTGTCATTCAAAATTGTGTACACAGGGTCCCAGTTACATCCAACAAAAGTATTAAAATGTAAAAGGAAAACAGTAATAAGATCTAAGATATGCTAAGAATGCTCCTTAACCGCCTTCCTGAGGGGAGCGGGGCAAAACGTGTGTGCTGGATGAGTGAGGTCCTTCATGATGCAGGTGGCCCTCTTCCTGCATGTGGAGGTGCACAAGTCTGTGATGGTGGGGAGACTGACTTCAACTCAAGATCTGAAGCAGATTAGCTCAGTTCCAGTTTAATCAGCCCTCTGATGGCTCAGAGCAGCATGAAGAGGCAGGAAGGCAATAGTGACAATCATTCTCTACCTCTCTACCTGAGCTTTGTCAGTTGCTTTGTTTATTTTGCTAACAGAAAGGTAGTATTGACTTCAACAGTTAAGACCAAAGCAAGGACGTCATAGAATGTGTTGTACTCAAAGTATGTATTCTGAATTATTTTCACCTTTGCAAACACTAAATTTTAACTAAATGTCTGTAAAAGCAACTGTTTATTTCTAATGATCCACAACAATGCCTTCTGATCATTTATTGGAGTGGTACATGAAAAGTGTTGTTGCTTCAAAACATGAAAATCTCTGGTTTAAATCTCTATCTGTTCTACGTGTTTTCTGTGGTTTTTCCTCAAAGTTGTTTAGACTTAAATAATAGTTAATTGCAAAGTGACTTTAGAAGTGACTTTGAGTAGACATTATTGTTTGTCTCTGAACCCTGCCTGTCCAATCTGTAGCTCACCTCCCACCATTCTGATCTATATTCGTCAAACAAGTATGGGAATTTGAATAAATTATATATATATTTTTTTCTCTTTTTCAAATTGTGAAAAATGTAAACACAATAATACATGTTGTACTTCTGTGTGAATCATTATGCTGGCCACAGACTATGGACATTTTTTGCCAAACCCCATTGGCCACAACACCATTATATACCTACTTTAGTTCATATAGTTTACTTTATAACATCACATACAGCTTCCTTTGTTTCTTATTTAAAACTGCAGTATTTTAAGATTCCTGACCCTAACATGTCCCTCCTACTAACCACAGAAAAGTGTTCAGGAAATAAAAAATAAATGTATATTTAAGTGAATAAGTTCTTAAAGGCATTAATTTCTCTCTTTCTTTACCTCCAGGGATGCTCACTCTAGCTCCGAAAGGGTTCAGCTGTCCTGATACTGAGAAAGTCTGCAATCCCTGCCTTGATGCGACCAAAGCTTGCAACCTCAACAACAACTGCAAAAAGCACCGTGCCAACTTCATCTCCACTTGCACCAAGGAGGACCAGAACAAAGGAGACACCTGCAACAGGAAGCGCTGCCACAAGGCGCTGAGGTCGTTCCTGGACCGCGTTCCCGCGGAGCTCAGCCACCGGCTGCTCTTCTGCCCCTGTCAGTCTGAAGGTTGCGCCGAGAGACGCCGGCAGACTATTGTGCCTGATTGTTCCTATAAAGACAAGGAGAAACCCAATTGTTTGGAGCTGCGGAGGATCTGCCGTCAGGATGCTCTCTGCAGGTAAAGAAAAGCAAATGTGAGAATCTGGTGTGGAGTTTTATTTTGCTGATTTGTTGGACAAAGTCTGGAGATACAAAACCATTCCTGGAAAAACACTTTTGATTTTTTATCATCTCACTTTTATATATAAAAAAAATGAAATAAGTTTCCATCTACTGTATAAGTGTTCTGCTTTCTTCATAACTTCCTGCCTCCTGTGCCATCCTAAAGTTTTATATTTCTAACTTGTAACTTTGCCAGCAAAGTCATTAGACTTTGAGGGCATGGCTTTTAGATGCAGGATGAAGATGTGAGGCTAAGTTGAAGGGACAACGCTCAATTAGGCTGAACAAAACATTAGTGGATCACTTTGGCTGTGTGAGGCTTCAAGCAGCCAGATTCAATTCACACTTATCCAGCCGTGACATGTTTCCTTGTGTTAGCTCAGAGCAGGTGGGACACAGCGGTTGGAGGCAAACCAGCTGTCAAGATCTTTTAGCTCCAGAACCATCTGACCATCAGTGGGCTCCACATGGTGCTGATGGAGATATGCTCAGCTATCTTTAGACCTGCAAATGGGTGGCATTTTAATTAAAACCTCATTTATGAGACTAATGGAGTTCAACAAATTCTTAGTTTTCTGCTAAAAAAGAAAATGTGGGAAATAAACACAAACATATTTGGCATTTTGTACATTTCTTTAGTTACAGAAAAAACACATGACCTACACATGTGAAAACGTGTTGGGTTACCGCACGAAACATGTTTTGAATGTCAAAGTTTTGAATGTCAAAGTTTTGAATGTCAAAGTTTTGAATGTCAAAGTTTTGAATGTCAAAGTTCATGCTCAATAATCCAAGTAAAAAAAAACAACAAAGTTAAGTCAGGTCATCTGGATGGTAATTTTTTTGTTGAGACGATTCGTCCTTCATCCAAAGGACTTAATCAGTCTGAGGAGCCACAACAAACTGAGTTCCACATGTTGTTGTGGCTCCTTGGACTGATGAAGTCCTTTGGACGAAGGACGAAACGTCTCAACAACAAAAAAAAAAAAAAGAAATTGTCCAGATGACTTGACTTCACTTTGTTGGATTTTCTACCTGGATTATTGAGCATGAACTTTGATGTTTTGAACCACTTTGGCTATGGCTGCCTCAGAGGAGTCGACAGGGGAGAGGGTGGATTCCAGAAACCATATTATCACCAGCAAACTGGTTGGTCCACTATGTGCAGCTTGTGGGACTGAGTTTGTTGTGACTCCTCAGACTGATGAAGTCCACTGGATGAAGGATGAAATGTAATATATATAAATAGAAACTGTTCAGAGGACCTGACTGAACTTTGTTGGATGTTTTGAATGTGTTCCCATCCCATCCCAATTTTGAAATGTTTGCTACATATTTTTCCACATGGGATCCCATGTGAACAACATGTTACATTCAGGCGGTTTTCCGTAAAGTGTGATTAGGCAGATGTTATCCTGCAGAGATGATCAGTGATGTCCTGACAATATTCAAAGGGCCTAAAAGATCAAGGAACTGTCTACACAGGCATGAAAAATGGTGAGAGTCTTGTCCTGGTATCTTGCTTTTACCAACCGTCTTAAAATTATAGAACGGCTACTTCATATTACTTGTCAAAAAGTTTTGCTGAAAGACTTTTGTTTGTTGTGTTGACAAACAAAATGGAGAAACACTCAATTAATTAAGTTTTATTTTGAAAGGGTTGCTTTGCCCTCACACATATCCTGTAAATTAATATTTAAAAGTGGGGTTGTATGGAAAGTTTATGAACAATTATTGTCTTACCTGCGTTAAATAGATTATGAACGAGCTCAGTTCGGATAAATACTTCTCACGTCACGTCCTCTGGATGAATTCTTCTTTGTTGAAATGTTTTGTCTTTTATTCAAAAAACTTCAGTCTGAGCTGCAACAAACAGTTTTATACATAAGACTTAATATTTATAAGATTGAGTTTGTTGCAGCTCCTCAGACTAACGAAGTCTTTTGGATAGAAGACGGAAGGTTTCAACAAGAAGAACTCATCCAGAGGACCTGACTTAACTTTGTTAGATTTATCTACCTGGATTATTGAGCAGGAAATTCTCACTGGGCTGATGAGTTAATGACTGACTTGAGTGAGAGCAAGTACAAACAGTATCACTTTTCTTAAAATAATCTTAAAACAACTTCAATTTAAAACGTTTTATTATTATCCAAACGGACAAAGTTTTATGAACCTCTAAACTGCCCTCAGTTTTGAAGCACATGGCTTTTTTAATTTTTTTACAGATATTTTTTGATATTCCTGATGGAGATACTCCAGGCTGCACTGGAAGTGCTACATCTAGCTGCTGCTGCTGTTTGTGCTCGCAGTTAACCATAAAATTATGTGTAATTACTGTAACTGTGCGTTGAAGGCTGTGTAAAACTTGATCAATTCATTCAACCTTTATTTATTCAGGTTAGTCTCATTGAGCCACGAGGACTCATTTACAAGAGAGACCTGCTTTAAACAAAGAACACAGATGAGGTACAGCCAACAATAGACAATCATATAAAAAGCATAATAATGTAAATAAATAGAAGAAATGAAATAAAAATTAAACAAAAACAGCAACATTATAAAGCAATGTAAAATACTATACATTAAAGTATTCTATACAATAATACTATACATTACATAAAGCAGCATTCAGATGAACTGCTATAAAATTTCTGAGACTGGATTTGGCAGCGACCCACTTCTATCTTGGTCAGAACCAAACTAGTTCTTCAAACTGAGTCTGTTCAAAGAGTCATCAACAACAGGTAAGATACTGACTGTTTTTTTTTGTTTTTTTTATGAAATCCTGCTTTTTAAAAAATTTGACCTCTTTCTTTGATATTTTTATGTTTTTTTATAAATAAAAACGAGTAATGCAAAATACTGTGAGCGAACTGTGTGCAGCAGGAAAGCAGCATTCTAGTCCTTACTCTTTTTATTGACAGAAATACAAGATTAGTGAAAATGACTCCCGCACACAAAACGTCTATTTAAAGATTCATACCAGACTGTAAAGACCAGTGCGGCTCTGAAAGTTCACTTACATCTGTTCCATCGAGGCGAGCACCCTGTAAGTGGCGATGGTTCCTTTCCAGCAACACTAAATTCAACCTCCACGCTGCCAAAGCAGTGAAACTCTATCAGCTCTCCTCCAATTTATGATTGTCTCGATAATTACCTGCTTGCCTGCATTGTGTTATCTCTTTTCAGACCGAGTTGCTTTCTTTGACCTTTAGGCCCCGGGTGTCTGCTGAGCTCCTCCTTATTGAGAAAGATGAAATAGGACGTTAAAGCTCATTATCTGTGGCTGCGTAATGCCCCGCTGAGGTCAACAGCTCGATGAGCGCGCGCACACCTGAGCCGTGTGGACGCACGTTTGCCCGACCAACAACCTTATGACACACACACTTTCATTCAAACATATTGGGTTTGAATGTAGTTCTGATGGCTTTTTGTGCAACCTTCAGCTGTGAATAAGAGCTGCCGTGCAGGAGAATATCTTTACAGTTCTGCAACAAAGACATGTTGAGCTGTTTCTCAAGCTTGTATTTTATTTTAGCGCAAAATGTCTGTAACCGAAAATGTTGCGTGAGATTTAAAAGTTTAAAAACACATTCAGGTATCAGCACTTCATTCTGCACATTTGAGTTAGTTTTAAAAGCAAACTGACTTTCAGATATCCACAGGTTAAGGTTTAGCCTGTGCATCTTTGTTTATAAAGCACAAATAAACTCAAATTCAGCTCATGTTAAAACTAAAATATCAGCAATGAACACTGCAAGACCAGAGAACAACGTTCTTCAGCTGTGGTCACCGTTCAAACAGACCTGTCGGTAAAAACAGGGAGGACTGTTCAACAATGAGTTCTTTGTGGATACCTGTGTGACTCAAAAAGAGGACGCACAGCTTGTCAGACCCATTTGAGCACAGGGGATGATTCGGGGGTGGGGGGCAGTGGTAATGAGCGAGAGAGAGAGGCAGAGGAGGAGAGGGAGAGCCTGCAGAATCAATGTGGACTGTAAAGCTGCTGCAGTCGGTTGGAGGTCAGTGGCTTGTTCACGTGGATCGTTGCAGAAGATGCTACGGGCCATTTTAGAGAGCTGTTTGAACTCTCCGCAACATGTGAAGACCGGATTATAAATACAATTTACACATCCATAAAACATATTGAAAAAGCAGAGTCACTTCTCTTTATTTATTTATTTAAAGTTTTTAATCTAATAATAAATTGCTATTTGATCATTTCAATCAGCAAAAAGGCTCTTATATGTTGCACCTTTGGGTGCACTGGTTGCCAAATTGGCTCGAATTTCACCATTGGAGAAGGTTTAGATTGTTCCAGATGGAGCAAATACTTAAAAGGATTTCAATTATATCATTTTGGCATTGGCTTCTGTGCCGTATTGCATTAGGAGATCTCATTCTGCTCCTGCTCTCCGTGGAGGTGAACGTTGGCACACTCTAAAAATCGAGATGGATGGAGAACAAGTATTAAATTGAGCAGCCTTTATTTCTACAACCTGCTTGTAGCCCTGCTTAAGGTATTACACCATTACCTTCTATTAGTCTGCGCACACATAACGTGTGTGAATGGGTGTTCATGCAAATAACCGGAGCGACTGTCAGTTTACGTAAGCCGAACCAAAGAACACTGAGTTGTATTTGTGCTTGTATTGATTGTGTGACGGATCAGTGAAGCCCGTTCTATGCTTGATTCATTTCTCCGTGCTTACAGGATCACTGGGTGCACTTTGATTGAGTTATTTGGGCTCTGGTTTTCAAAAATGGGCCGGTCAGAGACAATCGATCACTGTACAGGTAACCTGACCCAGTTTGTGAAAGAGGCTAACAAGCCTGCGTTTCTGACTGAAAACTTGCTGCAAATGACTCCCTTTTTTTACACACACTGCCCTAAATCTAAAGTCTGCTCGCTCGTATCCGACATCTCAAGTCCTCACCGAGGGGGTGTAGGGA